GCATTCCTTCCTCAGTTTTCACGAATGTTCCCTCCATCTAGCCCTGTGCTGGCTCTGGAGGAGAACGTCTATCAAATTTTTAGTGGTGCCTACTACGGGGCTGCATTTGTGTCAAAGCCACATCAAATTTAATACTTTTAAGTCCTCGAAGGGCTGACAGTCTAATTAATGAGCACAAACACAAAAGATATACAGGTGGTTGATTACCTTTAAGTACTCTTAGTAACTTAAAATGTTTTAACATCATGCTGTACACCACTGAATGTAGAATTAGACCACCTATTTTGGTCAGTTACTGGAGATGACCTTGGGCAAGTCAGATCTCTGACCTGTTTTCTTTTGTATTGCCTACCTCTCCCTCAGAGCTGCCACAAAAGAAATTAAAGCAAGAGAAAAATCATTTGCCCACCCAAAAGCACTGTTGCCAAGAATACAGCAGGGACTTCCTTTAGTGGTCCCTTAAGACGAAGTCACAGGACTCTTTCCAAAATGCAAATCCAATTATTCCATTCCCAGTCTTAAAGACTCCTGTTGCTAAAGGATAAATGTTCACCTGTTTCGCCTGGGCAGATAAGGGCCTGAGAAAAACTGGCTCCTTCACCGTCATCTCTGGCTTTCCTTTTTACAGACAGTAGCAATTCTACAGATGCTCCCGGTCACGTTCTCCCCCACAAGTCTTTGCCCCTGCATTGTTGATGGAGTTTCTGGCTGTGATTATCCTACTATACCCAGGACTCCACAGACTGCTATTAAATCACTCTCCACATTGTAATGAGACTGTGAGCTTCTGCAGGGCAAGGAAGGCCAATGCCTTATTCTTATCAGTAGCCCCTATACCAGGTACAAGGTCCAACCTACAATAGCCCAATAAATGTTCCTTGAGTGACAGGCAACAAATGAAAGTAGCCACACACCCAACAGCAATGGGAAGATTATAAAGTACTCTGAGATATCCGGATTTGGGGGCACATACAAATGGACATCATCACTGACAATGGTAGCAACCTCTTAGAACACTAAAAATAAATTTACAGAAATTCTGGGATTTACCACCGAGAGACCAGTTAAAAACAGTGATGCACAGAGCAGAAAATGGATGAATGACTGACTACATACATGCATCTAGACATACATGCATATTTTTAGCAAGTAACTTCTATTGTTGATTTCTAAATGGCTCCCTGGTTTGGGGAAAAGAAATGCACACATACAATGTATTCTAAAGCCAGTATCAAAATATCCCAGACCAACCTGACTAGCTTCCTTATCAAAGTAGAACCAGTAACACACTGATACACAAATACATCCTTTAAAACAACCAGAAAGATGCCCAGGTAATACCTCATGTGAAAATTTTTCTTTTAGAACCAGTGCTAGCAACAGTAAAGCTTTCCCTGAGGAGCTGTTAAGTGCTTTTCTTTCTGAAAATCATACTATACCACATACTAGGAAGAGGAAAGAGGATGCATGACCCATTTCCCATAAATACTTATACCTGGATACCCATGAGTCTCCAAATTCTTATTTCGGGGATGGTGAAGACTCTGTCTGAACATTTATGACAGGATTCACTTGATTTTTTCATGTAACAGCAACCATTTACCCTACCGAGCCCTTGCTTCCTGCACAGAAGGGAGCTTGAGCAGGTTGAACATCTCAGTTAATCCTTACATTAATAATCAAACCTACCACAAAAGCTTAGCATCTCATTTTATACCAAAGAAATTGCAAAGCCAAATGACTATGATGTCATCTCTTGCCAGTTACATGGTTTCTACTCTGGAAAAACTGGTAACTCTCAAGCTCACTCTCCGTAACACACACTTCCACCCAAACTATACATCTTTTCCAGTAAGTATGGAGCAGAAACAACTTTATTGTCTATGCTTAATGCCTTTACTGTGTATCCCAGCCAAAATGTGTTCTGTCTCCAATGAGTGTGTCCCACCCACCCATCCTTCCATCCCCTTTTAGGTACCCAAGGTATGCCAGGCTCTGAGCTGAGGGTACAAAACGCACAAGTCACAGTCTCATTCTTCATGTTTTCAGTCTAGACATGTGAGCAAATGGTCATGTGTGAGAGTAAGATACACGTGGCACAATCAGCACACATCAGCTCTGCCTTGAGTGAGCTGATTCTCACAAAGGACTTCAAGGAGGTGAAGACCCCTAACTGAGCCTGTGGGATGGAGGACGAGAATTACTTTCAGGACTTCTGAACAGTATCAACCGCCATGGGAAGACAAAGTTGAGAAGGAGGAACAGAGAAAGCCAGTTGGCTGGGGAAGCAAAGATGAACAACCCCAATCCTCCATGCCTGCCTGATCACACACTCAAGACAGCATCCTACCCTACTAGAGAGGCAAGGCAGGGCCTGGGGCAAGTGCCCAAAAGCTCACCAGGAGAGCCTGGCCACTTCTTTCTGTTGGAATTGATAACCCTCCGGTGCCGAACACAGACACACAAGAGACAGAAAATCCGATAAGGCAATTTCTCTTGATCAGAGGGTGCAAGCACATGCTTCCTCCTGCTAAGCAAGCACGCAGGTGCAAAATGGCTGACAGTGGCTTCTCCTTATATTCCTGATGCAGTCGTACCTGCCCCTCGCCTGGGATTTGTTCAGGTCAAAGTTCACAGTCTTTCCCGATTGGCTAAAAGACTTGGGGGATGAGTTAAGGCATGCAGTTTGGCAGGCAATGGAGCTGTACAGGAATCTAGAAGAAGCAGCAAGGACCCTTTAAACATGCAAGTCACCTAAGACAGCAACCTGAGGAATTTTTAAGTAATCTAAGAGGGTAACAAATACTCTGATAGAAAAGATCATTTTCTTACACTTCCCAGCATGATCTCCAAGTCTCCTCGGCACCCCCATTTCACTACAGCCCTATGGACTCTGATAACTAGTCTCTGGTCAAATTAATTATAACTCCAAGACCCTGAGTTGAGGAGAAGACAGTGTTCCCTCAAGAATTCTTCATCCCCAGGGGAAGCAAAGAAAACAAAATGCTACTGAGCTGGGAAAGGGAGTAGGAGAACTGATCTTAGGCAGATGGCTTTAAAGGGAAATAGAACAGAGATCATATCACATGCAGCTTCAATATCTGCCTAAACACCAGGGCACAATGAAGTCTGGCAGGGTCCTTATCCTTCCTGGGCATTTAAAGCTGCAGTCCTCATGCTTCCAGAAGTCTGTCTGCTCTGATTCATGGATTTCTACCTCCTCTTTAAAAGAAAAAAAAATCCTCTTTATGTTCTTTACTTTTAATTAAGGCATATTTAAAATAACTGCTACGACAATTTCTTGACACCCTATATAATAATTAATTAGACACATCCTGATGTCCTACACAGAGTGAAAAATCACGAGGTCAAGTACTTGCCCCTCATAAAGACAAAAATAACAGCAAAAGGACAGTGTGTTCCAATAGGAATTCAATCTCCACCTATCGGAAACTTGGCCAGACCACACATAAAATACTGGGACACTTCAAAATTTGTTATTCATATATACACATAATATTGCCAGATTCAATGATATTATTCATACAGCAATAAGTCTTTGTATTAATTTTAGAACAAAACAAAGCCATTGCTTTCTTCTCCCCTTGTACCCAAACCAATTGAAGTTTTGGTTACCATTAAGTTGAGCGATATTCTCAAGGAGAAAGTGACTTTAAAGTCAGATTTTAAAATGAAAAGATTTAGAAGTATCTTAAAGTTCTAGAAAATCACAATGAGCTAAGGAATCAAAAGACTGCAATCAAGAATCCTAAGATTACTATTGATTCTGTTTCCTCTTCTGTAAAATGGAGATATAAAGAAGGATGACAGAGTAGGAGGAAGAGAAGACAAAAGATTAATTAGATATATAAGGCCTTTTCCTGCTCAAAAACAATGGATTCTATGAAATATACAAAACAGATCTTTTCTAGAAAGGGACAAATTCCCCATTCCAATTTAAAAATAAAAGCTTTAAAAATCAAAGAAAAAGAGGACAATAAATTTGCTTCAATCATCTTAGCATAAGACTAAGCTCCTATTTTATGCAAACATCAGTTTATGAAATACAAATGACCGAGGGATACAAAGTATTTTATAGAGATGCCTAAATGTATCTCCCAAGCAACCTTTATACTCAGTTGTATATATTCTAATGTAAAAGACAAACAAGGATAATTTGGCATGTGCTATTATTTCCCATTATCTCTACTTAATTTAAGAAAGTAACATAGTCACCATTAATATGCTTAGTGGTAGACAACAGATGAGCACAGAAGGGAAACAACACAAGGTTACTCTTGGACCCCAAGAAAGAGTCTAAGAAATGCCCTATTTCCAACCAAAGGATGAAATGGTCAACCATTATCACTGAGTTAAAGAGAAAGCAAAGAGTGGAAAAGACAGAATAAAAATAATGGTAAAGACAGAAAAAATACAGTCATTCTAGCATATCTGAATTGACAGAAAAATTATACACACGGAAAAAAAAGATTGAAATATAAAAGACAGTAAAGGCAAAAAAAAAAATCGTATGTTCTCCCTCATATGTGGACATTAGATCAAGGGCAAACACAACAAGGGGATTGAACTTTGATCACAAGATAAAAGCGAAAGCACACAAGGGAGGGGTGAGGATAGGTAAGACATCTAAAAAATTAGCTAGCATTTGTTGCCCTCAATGCAGAGAAACTAAAGCAGATACCTTAAAAGCAACTGAGGCCAATAGGAAAAGGGGACCAGGAACTACAGAAAAGGTTAGATCAAAAAGAATTAACCTAGAAGGTAACACACATGCACAGGAAATTAATGTGTGTCAACTCCCTGTATAGCTATCCTTATCTCAACCAGCAAAAACCCTTGTTCCTTCCTATTATTGCTTATACTCTCTCTACAACAAAATTAGAAATAAGGGCAAAATAGTTTCTGCTGGGTATCGAGGGGGTGGGGGAAGAGGGAGGGGACGGGGTGGGTGGCAAGGGAGGGGGTGGGGGCAGGGGGGAGAAATGACCCATGCATTGTATGCACATATGAATAATAAAAAAATAATAATAATACACTATTACACAGGCCTATGGAGCCCAAGAATTTTCTAGTGTTAAAGAGAAGGTTGTTGAATTTTGTTTGCCAACAGCCACCAACTGTCCCCTGGACACTACCTAAAAAAAATAGTGGATGAGTTTAATTTTTTGCTAAAGCTAGTAGGATCTCAATTGAAGTTATATTTATCATAATTTTATGCATATACACAAATTCTTGATTTAAAGAAGTTTCAAACCATTTGAAAGCTAGAAAAGCCTTCTTGACAATATAGAGAGTTTAAGCTAGGAAACAGAAAATGGTAAGATTAAAGCAATTCTGATTAGATGTTTTTTAAAAATCATTATTTTTAAATTCTCAATTCTGATTTCTCTTCTGTTCTTAATTTTTGATGACACATAATACTTGTGCATACTTATGGGATATAATATAACATTTCAATACACGTATTTAATGTGTAATGCTCAGATTAAGGTAATTGGCATATCCAGTCCTTCAAACATTCCTTTCTTTCTGTTGGAAAAAAACCCTATTTGTGATTGAGAAGAATACAAAGCTCCACTGGGAGAACTGAATTAGCAAAATTGTCCATGGTGGTAGTTATTATTTTCCCTTTCTTACATTTTATGATTTTCCACAATGAATCTATGCTGTCTATCTAACAGAAATTTAAATTTTAAACATAGTATAATTTTTAATTATCTATTTTAAATTGAAAATGCATGTATAGGTGAAGAAAGAAAAAAGATATTTAATTGTGGTGCAAAAAACACAGGATATAGTGTTAAAAATAGTAAGTTAAGTGTAGGCATAAGGTGGACATCATAAGATAATTGTAAAATAGATCATAAACATATTCTATAAGAGATTACCATATAGCTAAATTCCTTCTGTTGTTTGTTGCCACTAACCACCAATGCAAAAGGTGATCCACCTAGACAAAAAAAAAAGTAGTTAATATGTACATATCAAGAGCAAGAGAGTCTAATTACATTGTACTTATCAAGCGAGTTTTAGGCATTACCTTTATATTTTCATCTCTTGTTTTTAGCTGGATGTATGGTTTACTAGGAGATGTAAACATGCCATGAACTGCCTACAACAAAAGAAAGAAAAGCTATAAATTTTCATCTTCAATAACCTGGAGAAAAGATGTTACCAGCTGAATAATTACTGAAAGCCTAAATCACTTTCACTTTTTCTCATTCACCAGACATTGGCTCTTCATCATTTTCTAGCTTATACTGTAAAGAATCTGCTGGCTTTAAAAGACAGAACTGCCATATGATCCAGTGATACCACTCCTGGGCATCTACCCAAAGGAACGTAAGTCAGGATACAATAGAGATACCTGTACACCAATGTTCATTGCAGCACTATTCACAATAGCCAAGCTATGGAAACAACCCAGATGCCCTACAAATGATGAATGGATCAAGAAATTGTGATATATATACACAATGGAGTTTTTCTCAACCACAAGAATAATGATATGTGGTTTGAAAGTAAATGGATGCAACTGGAGGACATGATGTTACATGAAGTAAGCCAGTAAGCCAGGCTCAGAAAGACAAAGGCTGCACGTTTTCTCTCATACATAGAAGATAGATCCAAAAGGTAAGCATATACGCAAAAATAGGCATGATCATATGCAAACTCATGTGTAGAATATGTTAGTAAGAGTGAACCACTCTATGGAACTTGGGGAAACAGGGAAAGGGAAAGAGAAAGATAGAGCATCAGTAATATCGCAAAACATAACACTGTGAAGGTAGAAGAATGTGCATTGAAAGCTGCTGAAAAAGGGGGTTGGGAGATAAAGAGGTAAGAGAGAGAAATGGAAGGGGTTGAACAGCCAAAATAAAGTACACCCACAGCGGGGATAAACAGAAAAGCACCTTTGAACATCAACTTAAATATTAATAATAAAGACAGGACTGTAAAATAGGTATAGTGTGTGTCGGGGTCAGGGGTATTTGTGGGACAGGGGAGGGTGAATGAAGGAGAGGAAGGTGAGGGTATATGGTTGATGGACTTCATATACTTACATGAAATAGAACCAAGAAACCTCTTGCAATTGCTTTAAGTGGGTCGGGGAGGGAGGTGAGGGGGAGAGAGGATGGGGATGATCTAACCAATGTACAATATAAACCTAATCAGAACTGTCACTATGAGTCCCCCTCTGTATAACAAAAATATAATAATGAAAAATTTTATAATTAAAAAAAGAATCTGCTAGCTTTAAAACATGGGAATGGATCCATGCTAACATAACCTAGAGGAAAAAAAGCACAGCCCTAAGTTACTTCAGAAACAAAGGTGTTTCATCATGGAACCTGGAAAAGGGGAGAATAAAATGAAAAATACATTCATTCCTTTTTTCAACAACACACAGCTCAAAAAATAGGAAACAAAATACAATATAAAATAAAAAGAGTAAAAATCAAAGTGGCCATTCTTATGAAGCACCGTGCTCAACCAGTGGTCTAATATGGCAGGGCTGGATAAGCAAAAGAAAGGTCACAGAAATAGTGGGGGATTCTCAGATGAGCCATTCTGGGAAAGACATCCCAAGAAAGGCATGCCAGTGTAAACATAGTCCTCTTTCATTTCAGATCTTTCCAAAATAAAATTTCAAATGACTGAAAAGTCAACCTAAATGAGGGTTGCAGGACATTCACCGTATCTTCATATTGCTGTTCTTCTGTGTTCCTCCAAATCAAGGTAAAAGGTAACATTCAGAGTAACCCTTCCTCACTGTCATTATGCTACTTCTACCATTTTCTCTTATTTTCAAAAAAGATGAAAACATGTCTACTTCCTCTGGACTCTGAGCTCTGACAGGTTGAGTGCTACCCCGAAACTAGAACTGTAAAGGTGCTGCAGTGACATAGTGATGGGAAGCAGACGGCACCTTCAATTGCAGCTCACTGGAATCGTCCAGAATTGGAAATTCAATCTTGAAGATCCCATTTTGGGGGACAGTATAGTTAATGGTCTGGCATTTTCTGTTTCCTGATTTCCACTGCTCCACCTGGTCCAGGAACTGGTACTGTTCCTCTGTGTCACTGCTATTACTACATTATTGTTTCTTTCTTCAGGAGTCAGTCGATTGGTATCAGAACGGGTGGCCTTGACCTAATTGTCAAAACAAGATATTTTTAAAACAGGGAACAAGAAAAGCAAGGACTTAAGTTCAATTGAATCCAGTTTCCCGTACTATTCCCATGAAACCGAACTACTTTCCAGATTCAGTGACCCTTCTCTAGGAGGTGTCTGACCCCACAGTCTCTGCCTTTTAGTTCTATGGCTTCCTCATCTTCCCCAGCTCCACAACAACCTCCTTCACTTCATACCTCTTTTTCTGCATGCTCCCCTCAGTGTCCCTTTTGGGTCACCTTCCCACTCTAAACTCCCTCTAAATGTGGGAATTTGTCAAGGTCATATATTCAATTGTCTATTCTTTACCCTTCCTCAAAGGTCTCAGCATTCCTATGGCTTCACCTGACATCTATTTGTGTTTAGACCTCAAATCTAAAATCCCCACCCTCACCTTGCTCTGGAGCTCATAATATTCTAAAGTTCCATTTCTCTGTAGGAAATTTCTACTTGGATGCCCAGTCACCTCAAATTCAACACATCTAAGAATGAGCAACCATTTTGCCTTTCCTGTTTTTAACTGACACCATAATCTTTATTATTATTATTATTATTATTATTATATTGTTTTCCTGGGGGTACATTCTGACATTTACAAACGTTCTTACTATTAATATATCATAGTTGAATTCACCCCCTCCATCATTCTTGTTTATCTCCCCCAACTATTGCTGAAATAGTTTCAACAGGTCTCATTTTTCCATTTACATACATGTGTACATAACATTTTCACTACACTCACCCTCCTATTCCCTTTCCTCATATCCTCCACCCTGCCACTAGTACCAACCCCCAGACAAGACCTGTTTACCTGCTTGTTCTCCATTTTTGAAAAAAGGGAGGTATCTCATCAAATCTCTGATGATGTTAACTACTTAATCTATACAACCGTAAGTCTACCAACTTTTCTGGATTTTGCTTCTTGTATATTTGGAATTATGAGAAGTATAGTGACATTGTAAATATACAGAGCAAGAGATGTCTGGAGATGAATTAAGAGAAGAATATAGGGGCCAGACTGTGAGGATTTGACTTTGCCATGTTTACAAAATTGGACTTTTACCTTACAGACAAGTGTAAAAAAGATAATTTTAAATAAAGAATGTTTTGTTCAAAAAAGAACAAGATACTTTTTTTTGCTTAAGATAGCTATACAGAGAGTTTCACCATAACACTTCAATCTATATGTGTTATTATAACCCAAACTGCTTCCTACCCCCTATTTTTCTTTCCTTTTTTTTTTTTTAGCAGCACTGTGGTTGAACTCAGGGCCTCACATTTATAAGGCAGGTGCTCTACTACTTGAGCCACTCCACCAGCCCTGTTTTGTGTTGGGCTTTTTTCAACATAGGGTCTCATGATGCACTTGCCCCAAGATGGCTTCGAACCACAATCCTCCTGATCTCTGCCTTCTGAGTAGCTAGGATTACAGATGTGAGCCAGCAGCACCCAGCTGACACCACAATTCTTCCAGTCTTACTATCTCTGAATTTTCCCTCACTCTCCCCACTTCTCAAACACCAAGTCCCATATTTTTTCTGCTCCCTCCTCTCTACAAGCACAACTACCATCAACAAGGCTCTTCCTGGCCTCACACCTGGGCTGCACATAGCCCTGCTCAGGCTTTCTAGAAGACTCTCGCCTTATCCCACCCATGTTCATAAGTCTTCTAGGTTTCTCACTGCCCACAGGACAAAGTTTAAACCCCAGGTTTTCCTACTGTTTTCCCACTCCCAGACACAACCCTCTTGTCCAGTCACTATTGTATGAATATGCCCTGATCTTGCGAACCAGAGCTCCCGCTCTTTCAGCTCATCTTACTCTCTACCTCCCACTGCCATGTCCAAACATTTAAAACACTAACAATCTTGAAATACATCATTTAGAGCTTCCTTTCCCATAAAACATCCCTTAATAACCCCCACCCCATCCCCAAACCAGTGCTCCCTCAGTGAACTCCCATTGTTCCACTCTACTCATTTGGAAATGATCATTTGCAGCTTCACAGTTTTTTACTTGCCTTTCAAACTATCTATGTTACCAAGGTCATTAAAATCAGGAACTACCTAAAACTTTTCTTCATATATTCAAGAAGAAGAGACCCCCTTACTTTCTTTAAATCAAGGATTGACTAGCAAGCAGGCATGCCAATCCATTATTTCTATAAGTAACGTTTAGTTGGAACATAGCCACTCTCTTTTGTTTATAAAATGGCAGAGTTGAGTAGCTGTGACAAGAGACCATATGGCTTACAAAGCAGAAAATATTTAGTGTCCAATGCTATGTAGAAAAAGTATACCAGTCCCTGCTTTAAATCCCTATAGAAATTAATTCATGATCCTAATATTACATTGCCTGGAACTGTACTTCTATGCTTAGTTTCTTGGCACCATCACAAAAACTGTGAACTTCAGGCTAGGGACTGGGTCTTTCTTAGCTTTTCAAGCCCAGCCTAGCACCATGTCTTGTATACCATCAAAATTTACTCAGGTAATATTACTTCAACAGTCTCTGAACAAAAAAGAGTATATTTGTTTGATAATTTTGAATACTATATCTTTGCTACAGCTAAAATTACTCATTCTAAAATCAAGTTTAAAGTAAGTTTATGATTGCCCATTAATAAAATCCTCAATGAATAAATCCACATTACTTATTAAATAAATTTTCAGGAAAATATTTTTGTTGTTGTTAGGACCTACTTTAAAAAAATAATATTAGACAAAGGCCATTTGTAAACAATTCTATGTGTCTCACACATCTAAAGAGGAAAAATAATTATCTACTTTTTGGGTTAAATTTTTAAATAAACATGTAAAATATTATTTCCCTTTCATTGAATTGAACTTATTACTACAGCTTGTAATAAATATACCAACTTACAGTGGCTGTGAAGTTGAGAGATGGCTTCAAAACAATAGAATAATCAAAAAATTCAATGATATAATCATGCTGCTTGAAAAACACATTGGCATTTGCATTTCTTGAGACACCTATTTGGAGAATTGCACAATTTGGAATGCAAAAATATTATTTCGCCACAATTTCTATCCACCCAATTTCTCCATATATGCTACTTGCCAAATGGGTTTGAGGGGATTAAGAAATTAGAGGATACAAGCCTTGTTTCCATATTGGCTTTGACACTAAAAGAACCACATCGTTCTATTATGTTCTTTACGGACTCCTAAACACCCCTACTACTCCATCAGTGACATGAACGTCAGCAAACTAGAGCTACTGAGAGAATGGTACTTTGTTTACTCAGTAATTGGTTAAACTTGTTGAAATACTGACAGGTTCTAATAATTAATCTTTTTTCCAGTACTGGGTTTGAACTCAGGTCCTTGAACCTGCTAGGCAGAAGCTCTTCCACTTGAGTCACACCCCTAGCTCTTATTTTATTATTAAAGGAGAAAACTATTTAGTTAAGATGTCAGACTAAGTGATTTTTAAAAAGGAAGAAGAAGGAAAAACAGAGAAAAAGAAAGAAAGGGAGAGAGGGAAGAGAGGGAGGAAGAGGAGGGAGGAAAAGAGAGAAGAAGAGAGAGAAAGGAAGGAACAAAGGAAGAAAGAGAGAGAGAGAGACACAGAGAGAGAGAGAGAGAGAGAAAGAAAGAAAGAAAGAAAGAGAAAGAAAGAAGGAAGATAGCTTATCTTGTGGTTTCAGGCTGAAAAATAAAGAAAAGAGTAGAAATGGAAAGTATTGCAAATAGCTATCACATGATTGAAGTACAAACTTGCAAAGAAAATAAGTTTCACTTTTATTATGAGAGTCCTAAAAGTTAAACTAATTAATAGTTGTGATAATTTCAATATTCATTAACATCTTTAGAAAAGCAACAAATACCTCAAAGGAAAGTGCTAGTTACAATGAGAGAGATGACAGAGGAGCAGCACATAGACAGCTTTACATTCACTTCAAAGTAATTCTGTCACTGTGGCTACAATTTCTATTGGCCCAGGGATAGACAAATCCATGTGTTCAGAATGCCCATCTGAAAAATCTATTACCTTTTTCATCTCTTCATCATTAAAAAAGAAGTTTGCAGATCCATTTATCTGTTTTGTTTCAAAGTTCAATTATATTTTTCATTTTAGGAATTCAAACACTAGAAATAAAACTCACAACAATAAAATGCTCTGACTGCATTTTAATCACTATAAGTGGGTACATTCTCACTTTTCCAATGCTTTTGGAAAGCTCTTCATTTTCTGATAGTCCACTTTTGTTAGTTCAGTATAAGATCTTGTTTCTAGAAACAAAAAAGTTTAAATTTTCCCCACCACCAGTGATAAAATATCTGCAAAAGTTACCTTAAATTTTTTTGTAATATTTTTCTTCTCTCCCCAAAACGACAGAGGTAAAAATGTAAGCATTATATCTCCTTTCACTGGCTTCCCATATGTATACCTGAAAAACAATAAACGGTTAGTTGTTTTATGATTGTTTTCCTTTTTTATTTTATATTTTCAACATGAGAGTGCCAGAGGGATACAACGGATATACAATTTTCAGTACCATATTTTAAAAGTACATTACTAAAACTATACTTTTACTACAATTTTTTAAAATAAGCACAAACCAGGCATCATGGTGATGCATACCTGAAATCCAAGTATTCTGGAGGCTGAGGTAGGAGGGTTGTGAGTTTAAGACCAACTGGGACCTAACTGATGTCTACAGATATTTCATCCGACAACAGCACAATATACATTCCTCTCAGCAGCCCAGGGAAGTTTCTCCAAAACACATCATATCTTAGGGCACAAAGCAAGCCTCAGCAAGAAAACAGAAATAACCCCCTCCATTCTATCTGATCACAATGCATTAAAACTAGAACTCAACAACAAAAGCAATAGCAGAAAATATGCAAATAACTGGAGACTGAATAACATATGGCTCAACTATCAGTGGGTCACAGAAGAAATAACAGAGGAAATCAAAAGGTCCCTGGAGCTAATGAAAATGAAAATATCACCTACCAGAACCTATGTGACACAGCAAAGGCAATCCTAAGGGGCAAATTTATAGCCATGAGTGCATATATTAAACGGACAGAAAGATCTCCATTAAACAACCTAATACTACCTCTCAAATTCCTAGAAAAACAAGAATAAGCAAAACCCAAATAAAGCAGAAGAAGAGAAATAAAAATAAGGGCCAAAAAATAATGAAATGAGACCCAAAAAAACCATACAAACAATCAACAAAACAAAAAGCTGGTTCTTTGAAAAAAGTAAGCAAGGTTGACAAGTGCCTGACAAATCTGACTAAAATGAGGAGGAAAAAGACCCAAACTAGTAAAATCAGAAGTGAAAAAGGGGGAGATAACAACAAATACCAGGAAAATCATCAGAGACTGCTCTGAGAACCCATATTTCAATAAATTGGAAAATCTTGAAGAAATGGACAAATTTCTAGATACTTATGAGCATCCAAAACTGAGCCTGGAGGATATTAATCACCTAAACAGGACTATAACATATAATGAAATTGAAGCAGCAATAAAGAGCCTCCCAAAAAAGAAAAGTCCAGAACCTGGTGGATTCTCTGCTGAATTTTACCAGACCTTTAAGGAAAAACTAATACCAACTCTTCTTAAACTTTTCCATGAAATAGAAAGGAAGGAACACTGCGTAACTCATTCTATGAAGCCAGTATTACACTAATCCCAAAACTAGACAAAGACACATCCAAAAAGGAGAACTATAGGCCAATCTCTTTAATGAATATTGACATAAAATTCCTCAATAAAATAATGACAAACTGAATCCAACAACATATCAGAAAGATTATTCACCAAGAGCAAGTCGGCTTCATCCCAGAGATGCAGCTAGGTTCAACATATGCAAATCTATAAATGTAATACAGCATATTAATAGAAGCAAAGACATAAACCACACTTGATCGTCTCAATAGTTACAGAAAAAGCCTTTGGTAAGATTCAATACTATTTTATGGTAAAAGCTCTAAGAAAACTAGGAATAGAAGGAATGTACCTCAATATTATAAAGGCTATATATGATAAACCTATAGCCAACATCATACTTAATGGGAAAAAACTGAATCCATTTTCCCTAAAGTCAAGAACAAGGCAAGGATGCCCACTCTCCCCACTCCTATTCAACATAGTCCTGGAATTCCTAGCCAGAGCAATAGGGCAAGTAGAAGAAACAAAAGGAATACAAATAGGTAAAGAAATAGTCAAAGTATCCTTATTCACAGATGACATGACTTTATTCCTTAAAGACCAAAAAAACTCCTAGACACCATAAACAGCTTCAGCAATGCGGCAGGATACAAAATCAACTTACAAAAATCATTAGCCTTTCTCTACGCCAACAATGAATAAATTGAGAAATAATATAGAAAAACAATTCCACTTACAATAGCCTCAAAAAAAAAATCAAATGCCTAGGAATAAACTTAACATAGGATGTAAATGACCTCTACAAGGAGAACTACTAACCACTGAAGAAAGAAATGGCCCAAACAATGTATGTACATATGAATAAATGAATTAAAAAATGAACAAATTTGGAAAAATATCAGTAATCACCGGAGTAAATAGTTAATAGCATTTTATTATTCTATACTCTAATTTTGTGTATACTTAAACTTTTTCATAATGAAAACGTTTTTGTTAAGGCATGTATGCTGAAATGATTTTAAAGGATTATGCTCATCTACTTCCCTTAAGACTATAGGGCATAAGAAACTGAAATAAAAGATAATCTAGGTTTTCAAATCAGATCATTTGCTGTGCAGTGATAAAAGGGGATAGGGTAGGGATGATTGGGCTTAACTGAGTAATGATTGGAATTCTTTTTCCACTGTTATGTTGTTTGGCAATCAAGTCCAAAGGTGAGGTAATTTCCCTAAGTCTGCATCATAGCAGTCATTGTATACCTTCCCATGTCTAAGTAATCAAAATGTCAACTATGAAAACAACAACTGTAAAACATAATTGAAGATGTCAGAAATAGAGGTCAGTAGACAGACACCTGACCCCAGTCCAATCCCACACAAACTTTGGACAGTCCTTGCTATCATTTGGATTTTAAATGTCCCTAAAGGCCTCTTTTTTGTGTGTCTGTGGTACTGGGGTTTGAACTCTGGGCCTACACATTGAGACACTCCATCAGCCCTTTTTTGTGATAGGTTTTTTTTTACAGATAGGGTCTTGTGAACTATTTGCCCAGGCTGGCTTTGAACCTCAATCCTCCTGATCTCTGTCTTCTTAGTAGCTAGGATTACAGAAGTGAGTCATCAATGCCTGGCTTCCCTACAGGCTTTTTAAGGAGGGAAGTTTATTTTGGCTTATGGTTTCAGAGATTTCAGTCAATGGCTACTTGGACCTGTTGCCTTGGAACTGTGGCATCACAGAACATCATGGCAAGAGTGCATAGCAGAAAGTATTTGTTCATCTCATGAGTGGCCGGGAAGAGAGATGAAGAAAAGGGACTAGAGGACTAACATTTCCATCAAGAACATACCTTCAATGATCTAACTTCCTTCCACTAGACCCATCTCCTAAAAGTTCAGCACCTCCCAATAGCACCACAGGTTGGGACTAAGCCTTTACCACCTGGGCATTGGAGGGACATTCAAAATCCAAGTTTTAATGAGTTATATTTTTAAAGGTTAAATTCATAAAAACAGAATGTAATGAAAGTTGTCAGGGGTTAGAAGGAGGGTGAGATGGAGAGTTGTTATTAAATCTGTATAAAATTTTAAGTTATGTAAGAGGAATAAATTCTGGAGCTATGCTGTACAATATGATGTCTACAACTAATGATACTGTATTATCCACTTAAATGGTCAAGAGGCCCCGGTGCTGATGGCTCATGCTTGTAATCCTAGCAATTTGGGAGGTTGAGATTGGGAGAACTGTGGTTCAAGGACAGCCCAAGCAAATAGTTTGCCAGCCCCATCTCCAAAATAAGCAGAGCAAAATGGACGGGAGGTATGGCTCAAGCAATATAGCAGCTGCTTTGCAAGTGTGAAGTCCTGAGTTCAAACTCCAGGCCCACCAAAAAAACATAAGTAAGTCAAGAGAATAGATCTCATATTAACTGTTCTCACAACAACCAAGGAGATGGATGTGTCTAATAGCTTGACTGTGGCGATAATTTCACAGGTGCAGGCAACTAGCTAACCTCATCTAACTGGATGCATTAAATGTGTGCAGTGTTTTGTATATCAATTTTGCCTTAATACAGTGTTTTTTAAATTCTATTGAGTTCGGGGTTTCATTTCTGACCATTAGTTCCTGAGGCACTATGCCTTTTGTTAGTCATAAAATACATGAATTTCTAGGCAGAAAGAATTCTGACCCAAAAGGACTGTCAGGAAGGGCTGATTCAGTAACACTGTGGTTTCACATGCACTTAGGACAGATTTGAACCTTAATCTTCTAATCTGCCCACATCACTCAATTTTCAGTTGCTTTGTATGCATTTTTAGTTCACTTCTGAAGGTAATTCTGTTTCTTGTATGATTCTCTCAGTTGGTATACTATCTGCTCCATTGATATTTTATATTTGCAAATTTTGACTTAAATTTCTCTGAAGTCAAAGAGATAAAACTATGTTTCCTTAAATTTTTCAGGATATTTAAATTTTAGATATCTCTGCCAGGCTTTTCACAGAGGCAATATTAGTTACATCTTTTTTTTTTTTTTTTTTAGTGTCCCCCTCCATCAAGGAAAACTGACAAAGAAAATGCCACATAATTTGTAAACAACTAACAATCCCACATTTTATATACTTACCATTAAAATGAATTTCAAGACTAACCAAAATTGTGCTCAAAAGTTTTAAGATATAGGGCTGGGGGCATGGATCAGTAGTGGAGTGCTTAGCTGGCAATCCTGTCCCCAGGTTCCAGCCCCAGCACCAGGAAAGAAAGGGAAGGAAGGGAAGGAAGAGAAGGGATAGAGGTAGAGAGAGATGTAGAGTTAGAGGGAGGGATAGAGGAAATTAGTTTTAACATGCAAAGGAAACACACAAGGTATAGAAAATAAGGGAATTATAAAGAAGTATCCTCAGGATTTGAATACAAGGAAAGGCAATACATCTTAATTGTAGTAGTGACTGTTGCTGACCTTAGACATATCACTTCATTCAGTTTCCATCTATTAGTTCTCCTCTTCAAAATGGCAATAGTAATACTCATGAGCTGAGGATACAGCTCAGCAGTAGAGTGTTTGCTTACCACGTGTGAGACTCTGGGTTCAATCTGTCAGTAACAGGCAGACAGACAGACAGACACACAATATTCTCACATGTCTGTATGAGGTAAGAATTACACAATCGTCAAGTTGTACAATACTGAGGAAAATCAAACTCTGCTATGAAAATCATGAACATATGCTTTCATATAAACATGACAGAAAACTGCACCTTTCCCCATCTTATTTTGTTTTTATATTGATCACTGTCTGAGGACAACTGACAGGACAGCTGCCTAAATAAAATATGGGGAAAGTGGCTCAGCTTTTCTGAGACCCCCCCACCCCCACATACAGGGGCTTTTCTTCTCTTTTCCTCTCTGCTAATAAACCTTTGGGAAAAAAAAAAAAAAAAGAAACGAAGATATGGGAAAATATCCTCATGGAGCACAGACTAATTTTAAAATTCCTTCCTAAAAATATTACCACTCTTCTATGGGAAATACATTATTCATTTAAAACTTGCTCTCTAGAATCTATAAATAAAAATATTTCCCCTAACTTTCATAACTGCCAGGGCAGTACTTTATTTTTCCTTGGATAGTATTAAGAAATATTTCCTTCAGGGTACTTGTATGCTCCTTGAATGCAGAAGGCATGTTTATATACCTTGCATACTCCCATAGCAACCAGGACAGAGCCTGACACATAACATAGGGCTTCAAAAATATCCGTTCTCCCTACTCAAAGCTGGAAATGGAAGATAAGTCAAAATTCCAGATCTAAAGCAATGACTCACCTACTATTAGAGTGTCTTAGATAGCTCTAAAACAATGTGCTACTGTAAAGAGGTATATAGCATACATAAAAGCACTGAGTAAGGAAAAGATTATCAAGGAATCACTAAATAAAAGGTGACATTTACCAAAAAGGACATATAGGAACTCACCATACACATAAACAAACAGGTGGAGGGAACAACACAAGGCAAACATGGTATGTGCAAGGATCAGTGAACAGAACAATGTGTGATGCACACAGAAGGTGGCAGCCACGGAGAAAGATGACACTGAAAATGTGCACTGGGTTTCAAAGATTAATACAGAAGAAAGAGTGTATGTCAATAATTTTATGTTGGGTAGGTACACAACTGATAATTTGTGATATAGTAGGTTAAATGGTTATCTATTATAAAATTAATTCTGCCTTTTTATTATTTTTTAATGTGGCTACTAAAAAATTTTAACTATATATGTAGCTCGAATTGTATTTCTACTGAACAGTACTGGTCTAGTGTTGGTAAAGGAATTACCAACCAAAAATAAATGAGTACCATCAACAACAATCTTTATACTAGTGTGCAATCAGAAAATAAATGCCACATATAAGGGGTGGGAAATGTCATCTTACACTTTTTTCTTTAATCCTCTTGGGAAGACTCTAAATCAAACAAAAACAACAACAGCAATAAAGTACCTCCACTAGGTCTAGGAAGGTCTACCCAGGGCCCAGATGTTAGTTTCCAATACCATTCTCTTTGGAGAAGTAACAGGGGCAGAGAACATACAAGATGAACCTAGACACAGGCGGTGGTAGCTCAGGCCTGTAATCCTAGCTTCTCATGAGGCAGAGATTAGGAGGATCATGGCCTAACACCAGCCCAAGTAAATAGTTGGCGAGACTCTATCTCAAAAATACCCAGCACAAAAAAGGGCTGGTGGAGTGGCTCAAGCAGTACATCACCTGCCTAGAAAGCATGAGGCCCTGAGTTCAAACTCCAGTACCATAAAAAAAAAAGGATGAACCTAGATAAAACATCTTACTCTACCAGAAAGAAAAGCATTGCTCAAAACCATAACAATGGAAGCATGTAAAAAGATACAGAAGCCAAAAAGAAAGTACTCCCAATCACCAAATCTGAAACAATTTGATCAAGAAAATAAATGACAGAGTATGATACCACCAACAAAATCAATAATCTAGGGATTTAAATCCAGTGTATAAAATAACCTGGACTCTATAATCATATAAATAACTAACTAAATAAATGGGGCAGAACAAGCAAGTCTCCCATAACAAAACAGTTGTGCCTTCAAAGTGCTGGAGCATAACTCCCCACCCTTTAAGTGTAGGCTGCACATACTGATTTCCTTCCAAATAGCAAAGTATGGAAAGGGAGTAAAACAATAATTTTGGACTGTAATCATGGCTAAAGAGATGGAGTGCCTGCCTTGCAAGTGTGAAGTCCTAGTTCAAACCACAGTACCACCAAAAAAGAATTTTTTTGCAGTGGAAAAAACCTAACAGACCCTAATTCAGACATGAAATGAAGCTTAACATAATTAGTAGTAATCATCAGTGATAAGTCATGTTGTCAGCACATTCCTGGAAATTATGTGAGGAGAATGGCTCTACAGCCTTTCTCTAAAACAACCCAATTAATTTTAAGGAAAACATCAGACAAATCCAAACTGAGAGACTTTCTATAAATCCTACCAATACTCTACAAAACTGTCAAGGTCAGCAAAAATGAGGAAGGTGTGAGAAACCATCATAGCCAAGAGGAACCCAAGGACACACAAGGACTTAACGTAACATAACATCCTAGATGGATCCTGGGACAAGAAAAAAATCCAAACAAACTATGAATTTCAGTTAATAATACTTATCAATATTGGCTTAATAGTTGTGATAAGTGTGTCATACTAATGATAACAGATCATGTTAGGCAAAAGGTATAGAAAACTCACTGTACTGACTTTGAACCTTTTCTGCAAACCTAAAATTTCTCAAATAAAAATTGTACTAAGGTTCTGGTGCATGACTCAAGTGGTAGAGGGCCTGTCTCGCAAGTGGAAGGCCCTGGGTTCAAACCTTAGTACTGCCAAAAAGTAAAAATAAAATTAAAAATTAACAAGTTTTTTTAAAAAGAGACTTGCTTTACTTTGAAATCTTTCAAGACTGTTGGAATCTTTATTCCCTTGGCCAAGTCCTTTATAACCTTACTATTCAGTGTGGTCATCTGGAAGATGGTTAGCAACCCAGAGTGTCACACCCACCTCAGATGTGTTGGGGTTCTCAGACAAACAGAACCAATGGGGCGGGGTGGGGGGAGGAGAGGGAAATAGAGAGAGGGGTATGAATATGGTATTGCTTCTACAGTCCCCAAACCCAGGAGAAGGATGGTGGAAGTGGAGGGTACAAGGGTGTGAATGAAATCTGAATTCAGTCTGCTATAGAGAATCCCCACTTTACTTAGGGGAAAAAGGGACTGTAGGGAGGCTGGTATTTTTGTTCTAGTCATTATAGAGGGCAATTAGCTTTACAGATTATGAATTAACCTGACCCCTCAGTGTTGACGCATAAAATTCCACACCAGGCCTGCCGAATCAGAATGCACTTTTTTTCTTTTTCTATACTGTTACTTGAATTCAGGGCCTACACCCTGAACCATCCAGGAGCCCTTTTTTATGATGGGTTTTTTTTGATAGAGTCTCTGGCACTATTTTCCCCAGCTGACTTCGAACCACGATCTTCCTGATCTCTGCCTCCTGAGTAGCTAGGATTACAAGAGTGAGCCACCAGGGCCCGGCTCAAAATGCACATTTTAAAAGTATCCGCTCCGTGACTGTGTACATATTCGAGTATGAGTGGCACATCTCTACAATCCTCAGAGTTTGAAATCCACCTGGCAATTTTAGTCGCCAGATCTTTCATGTTTTAATTTGATCAGGAAGTATAGGGATGCCCGCAGAAGGCCTCCCACCTGGACCTCACCAATCCTCTTACCTGGCTTACTGAATTATTGCTTGCAACCTTCCCGGATGGCAGCTACCACATCTTACCTTTTCCGTCTGTCTCCACAGAGATGACCTTTATTGCCCAAACAGCTCCAGGCCTGCCCTGCCACGGCCACTGGTTCGTGTTTCCTAGTTCCTCTTTCTTAGAGTCAGCAACTAGGAGAATCTGAGGGAACTAGATCTGCAAGGAAACGCACACATCAGAGGATTAGACAGGCTGAACCACGGGCCACCCCTATATCGGGCTGTTTTCCCCTAGAGAATCAGCCATTTCACTGGACTCTATTATTTCCATTTGCAGTTGTTCTACCTCAAAAGCTATTTTAGGAAAGACCTGCAGTCACGGGGTAAACGGCACAAAGGTTGCTAATATTCCCATCAATTTGGCGACTGACAACTGAGCGTCAAGCGCGCACCACTTCCCTAGTCTTACTTAGAGACTCGAATCGCCGTGCAAGACCCAGGCTTCGAGTCACCCAGCTCCTCCAGCGCGGCCTCGCGCTTTACGACGGTCGGCGGCGGACGTTCCCAAGAGCACCCGCGGCCACGCCGGCCCGCCCACCAGACCGGAACTCCGGAACCTTGCTTTCCCCGCCCAGACCTAGGCCGGCGCTGCCGGAACCTAAGATGGTGGGGGACGCAGTAGGCAAGGCCGGCTCTGGGCCGGGCCTCGGTGACAAGACGGGGCGGGGGCGGGGCCAACGCCCGCGCCCCGGCCCCTCCGGGCCAGCGCGGCCCAGGGCCTGGGCTGTGGGCCCGAGCGCTCCTCCTTGCAGAGTCGCCAGCACCTCAGCTGTGGCAGGCATCGTGAGGCCCACGGCTCGGGGTCCGGCTGTGAATGATGAGGACGAGAACACGGACAGCACCCCGCTCCTGCACGGCGCCTGGAAGCCGAAGCCGGTGAGCGCGGGACAATCGAGGGGCGGTGGGCCGGCGACACTCCCGGGACGGGCGGTGGTACCGGCGCAGGTGTGTCCCATCCAGGGTACCGACATCCTGGCGGCCGGCGGGAGCTGTCAGGCGCAAGGGCTCAGCGGAGGGGAAGCCCATTCAGGGACCAGCCCGACCGGCCTGTCCGGTGCAGGGACGCCCTCGGGCGGAACCCCGGCAGGTGGCAGGTGCAGGTGCAGCCCACGGGGCCCGCCCGCGGTAGTGCCCACCCAGGGAAGAACCACCTGGGAGGGACCTGCAAATCAATGAGCCGAGGCCAGACAGAGCCTCTGGCTCCCTTCCCTGCGACCGCCAGGTTTCCGCAGCTGCACATCAGCAAGCATGTGATCTGGTGGCTCCCGGGCGGGGAGGACAGATGAAAAGCATAGGGTCAACATTTGTGGGTGTGCGGAGTAGTCATTGCATAACCCAGCGAACATCTGCCATTGTGCTGAAAGACACAAAAGATCGCAGACTTTTCAGGGTTTTTCCGTGTACGATTTCTATTAGGAACAGTTCGGTTATCGTCACATAGGGTATTTATCGAGCTCTACGGTAATTGGCCAAAGTTGTAACAAATTGAAAGGGAAGTACTTCAAAAAGGTATCATCCCAGAATCTAGAGAACTACAGGATTTGCTATTTGATACTTTTGTAATGTAGCTTCTTAAAAAGTAATAATAAAAAAAACCTAAAGAGCAAATTTGATTGCATGCATTCCATAGTATCAAAGGCGTGC